TAGATGACCATGAGTAAATAAGTATGGAGGATTGTTACTTTATCCTGCAAACACTAGCGGGTTCAATCTGCCAATCTTTAGGTTGGTATTCTAGCACAAACCGCTTGTGTAACCCAAATTCAGGTATATCCCCTGCAGATAGGAGAAATAGGGTAAACTCTTTCTATTTATGTAGAGGACTGCCACATTTGACTTGTGTACTGGTTTGTTTATTTTATTGATAGAAACTAATAAATGACATGTATTAACTAGGATCAAAAGAACAGAGGTAGTGCCATATGACATTCTATATGTCTTTCATCTGAGTTGAGCGACTTTTTTTTCCCCTCAAGAAGAAAAGGAAGTTCCAGGTGATTTTAGAGCAAAGCTTCTCCAGCATTACTGATGCGCTCCATGTATAATGAGATCTTCTGGCTCATTTCTGGATTCTGACTCCATGCAGACCCATGGGATGCACAGTGTCTCTTAATAAATTAACTCAGGAGACATGAACTAGGAAACAGAACTTGTCCTCTGAGAGTTCCTTCCCAATCATAGTGTTTTTAAAGAATCAACATTCTAAAAACAGTCAACGGAGTCAGAGGAGCCTATTGCATGCTACCTTGTGCTTCAGTCAGGGAGTCCAGAGAAATGTAAGTGACCAAACAGTCTAGTAAGGCTGACCTAGACCCTAGGAAGGAAGACCTCTGAAAAGACCAACATTCTAGTTTTCCTTTTACCAAACAATGGCAATCAAATTACTTGGTATTGCTAGAAATAAATTCTTAACTAAATGAATAAGTAATTTATAGTTTTCTAATAAGCTCTTAAACAAGAACAAAATCACAGATTCCATAAACTTAAGGTGATGAATTGCTTCCTTTGAGCCTGATGAGGCTTCTGTTCCAAAGCTTTTCTTTATGTTCTTTGGAATACAAGGTCTTTGTTCTGTGTTCGTATCTGTTTTAATGGTAACGTAGTCATTGGTTTATTAAGAAGTCAACTCTTCAAAAACAAAAAAAAAAACTGTCAAAAAACAAAGAGGTCAACTCTTTCAACTCTGATTCCTTATATTTAAAAAAAATGAGAGGAATTTAAAAAATATAGATTAGGGAAACAGGAGAGAACATGGCACAAAGATCTGTCAATATTATTTTTAAATGCACAATACCTTTATACAGGAAATATTACAGAGAGGCTTAGCTAACTTTGACAATTTAAAATGTTTAAAAGACACACATTCTGTTTCTAAACACAGATTTTGCTTTTAAAGTTTTAAGTATTTGGACTTATCCAAGGCTTTTGTCATTTGTTTTTATGGGTTTCTTTTTATTTGCAAGAAATGTTTCTTCAGCATCTTCAAATTGTGTGGAAAAATTAGAGCAAATGGACGACCTGCTCTAGGAAGTAAAGATACTCAAGAATCTTCTACAGATATAAATTACTTTACAGTGCTGTTGTTTTTTTTGGTTTAGGCCAAAAGAAGTGTTTTGTTTCACCTGTGACTAAGTTCTTCAAGCAGAGGAAATGGCAGTACCACATAATGGCTGACTTGTGCCTTTCCTTGACACTGAACTATTTTTTCACTAAATAAATATTGAGCGATATGGAAAGAGCATTGCCTCAAAGGGATTGTTCTGTACCCCACTGTCTTGATGTGGCTCTCTTTTTAGAGTATTTTCTCCATGTTTTAAGAATATCCAGTCAGTCCTATTCAAATGTGCATCGGAAGCAATAAAGTCACCACTCTTTCCTTTTCACCCCGGGCCTGTGTCTGTACCCATTTTCCCTGTACCTAATGAGTTACCAGTGTCCTGTTTATGTCTTTACAACTCATTCAATGGAAGTTAAATCCTAATTCTTTCCAGCATATTTATGACAGGGAACTCTAGGGATATACTCTGTAGTGAGTTGTGCTGATAATCTAAAGGCTGATTATTTCTGGTGGTTCAAATCTACCAGTGGCTGTGAGGGAGAAAGATGAGCAATCTCCTCCTATGTGATTTAAAGCCTTGGAAACCCAATGGAAGGTCACTATGAGTCGGTTCCAACTTGATGAAAATGAGTGTTATCTTTACAAGTCTATCACGTAAAATTTCAGGCCCCACATTAAATAAATCAGAAATCTTTTCTTTCTCCTAACACAGTTCACTTTCAGATTTTATTTCCCTTCCCTATCCCAAAAGGACTAGTGGTACCATCTGTCAAAACAGATAGTACTGTTGCATGAATGTAGGCACTTAGTTACCTGAGAGAAAGAGGAGGTGTTTGCCTTTCATAAAGATTTATAGCCTTGGAAGCCCTATGGGCAGTTCTGCTGTCTCATATACAATTGCTGAGTCAGAACTGACTCAGAGCCACGTTTTGATTTTTGGGGGATTCCCTATGGAGAAGTGTCTTGAATATACCATGGACCTCCAAGAAAACAAACAGGTCTGTCTTGGAGAGAGCAAAACCAAGTTTCTCCTTGGAGGCTAGGATTTTGAAGCTCCATCTCACATACTTTGTGAGCATGTGACCAGGAGGGACCAAGGTGGAAAGAGAGCACAGGAGAGGAAGACCCTGGATGAGATGGATTGATAGTGAGACTGGTTCTGGACAGGGCAGGCTTCAGAGATGTTGTAAATAGGGTCAGTATGAGTTGCAAGTGACTCAACAGCCCCTAACAACAAGGATCCAAATAATGTCTCACTTTTTTTAGCTCAATGTCTCCATAACCTTTTTCTTTCTTTTCAAAAATTGTTTTTCTTTCACTGCAACAGTCTCAGAAGAGAATATACAACTGCTGTTCTTACACTAACAGGGTCTCTCTTGGTATATTTCTATAACCAGGCTTTCCACCCAAAGAATTTACTAAAATTGGGGCCAGTAGGGTCAGTCAGTGACTTCTTTCTTGTTTAATTTACCAGATGCCATCTTCTTTGATGTTTCCAACTATCTATGAAACATTTAAGATAGAATTTAAAAGATTTTTTAGAAAAATAAAAGTAACAATCCTGCCTGTGAATAGAGCATTGTGAAAAATCAAAATTAATTATAACCTCCTCCTCACCTACACATAGCAGTTAACCTAGAAGAACACTAGGTATACATCCTTATAGATCATTTTTACATATATAATTATATATAAACATACACAATTAGAAACATGCAAAATATTTTAATCAAATGACAGTGCATTGTATTATTGTTCTTTACATAGCTCTTCTATGATTTTATTTATTCCAGACATCTGTCAATGGCAAGAATCTACAGGAATAAAATCCAATAGAACTTTCTCTAATGAAAAAAAAAAAGTTTGATATCTGGACTGTTCAATATCATAGCCACTTGGCATAAGCTAATTTTTAGCACTTGAAATGTGCAAATCTAGGGAGGAACTGAATTCTAAATATTTTTAAATTTATTGCTAAAAATCTCCCTTATATTCTATAGCCTGTTTCTTCCATCTCTTTCTATCCAATTGGTATGTCAGAGGTCTTTAAACATGAGTTACTTTAATTGTGACATTTATTTTTTATTAAATCTTTCACCTTTTTTTCCATGACAGAACATTTTGCAGAATATTCATGTGTTAAAGTTAAGTGGAATTTCCTGGATCCTCAAATCGTCCAGCCTGCTGGTGTCATCTTGTGTTTTTTAAGTGGTATTAACTCGAACTACTAGTACCATTTGATAATTCCACAGTTCTTCATTAAATTTTTAGGAAGCACATATATATATGCAATGGGCAAGGTAGGTGGCCAAAAGAAGGCCTGGTCTTTCTTATAGCCATCACCAGCATGGAATACTTCATCTTGGTTTTGGATCTCACCTCTTGCACTTGGTATATTTTGTCCGCACGGTGCCATCATCTAATTCTATTCACTCCTGAAATAACATTGACAATATACTCTATGTATCACAGCTTTAAAGGAAGGTTGAGAGCTCTAGAGGGAGTTTTTGTCACATAAGGCACAATTTAAAATAAAATCCTACACATTATTCTTAAAAATCCCACTGCCAAAAATAAAATATTGCTTTAATTCAAAGTCCAGTCTCCCGCCATGTTACTATTCCTCTTTTATCTTTTTCAGTGATTTCTCTTTCATGCTGCAACTTACTTGTCTTGTTAATACTTTTCCAAAGGAGCTGTTTCACTAATAATTTATCTTACCTAGGCTATTTATGCTGGGTTTGGAATATTTCATCTTTCCTTTTATTAAAGTATTCCTGAAAATAGGCATTCCCAAAAATTAATACTGATACTTATATTTATTCTTTTCATGAAAGCTATTCACTAATGACTCTAAATTAATCTTAATATCTCACTCCTATTTTGTAGTTGTTATCGCTCCTCTGCAAAACTCCAGTGTCTTAGTGGTAATGAATTGTGCAACTAACCCAAAGGCACACAGTTTGAATCCACCAGCTGCTCAGCAAGAGGAGACTGGGCAATCTCCTTTCATTCAATTTACAGTGTCTGAAAACCCACTGGAAGATCAGCTCTGGGTGGATTTCACCTCAGTGGTGCACCACAACAAAACCCTCTCCATTATGAGAGAAATCAAGGCTTCCATTTCTACATTGTTCAAAGAAAGAACGTTTATCCATCTTTTATAAAACAAATTTATGGTGCTATTTGAAAAGGTATGTATGATTGCCTCATCTATTGGCCATATACTTCAGAGAAAACTGAGGAGGCAGAAATTTAAAAAGCACATTGTCATGAGTCGAAACCGACTCAGAGCTGACCCTCCATTGGGTTTCCAAGGCTTTAAATTGCAGGAGAGGAGATTGTCTATCTTATTCAAGTTGAATATGTCGTACCATCAGGATTTGTACCATCTGGAAAGCATGGCATTGGATGGAATAAAACAACTTCCTATAGAAACTTCACAACCCAACAAAACCCAAGCAACCAACTCATTTGTTTGATGTTCTCTGTACTCATTTCTCAGTTGCTGTTCTAGAGACCATTTTACAATGGGAATTTACTTATCTTGACTTTCTACTTTGCTTTCAGATACTGAAATTGAGGAATGCAAAGCAATAATCTCTCAGAAGTGACAGAATTTATTCTCCTGGGATTCTCCAACTTTCATGAACACAAGATCACGCTCTTTGTGATTTTTCTCTTCCTGTATATTTTAACATTGGCTGGTAATGCCATCATTGTAACAATCATCTATATTGATCATCACCTTCACACTCCCATGTACTTCTTCCTGAGCATCCTGGCCAGTTCAGAGACTGTGTACACTCTGGTCATCATTCCACGGATGCTTTCCAGCCTTGTAGCTCAGAACCAGCCCATCTCCCTGGCAGGCTGTACCACGCAAATGTTCTTCTTTGTCACTTTGGCCATCAATAACTGCTTCCTGCTCACAGTGATGGGTTATGATCGCTATGTGGCCATCTGTAACCCCCTGAGATATACAGTTATCATGAGCAAGAAGGTGTGTGTCCAGCTGATGTGTGGAGCTTTTGGTATTGGCCTGGCCATGGCAGCTGTTCAAGTGTCATCCATTTTTACCTTACCCTTTTGTCACAGGGTGGTTGGGCATTTCTTCTGTGACATCCTTCCTGTCATGAAACTTTCTTGTATTGACACCACAATCAATGAGATAATCAATTTTGTTATAAGTTCTTTTGTGATCCTGGTGCCAATGGGCCTGGTCTTCATATCCTATGTCCTCATTATCTCTACAATTCTCAAGATTGCCTCAGCTGAGGGCCGGAAGAAGGCCTTTGCTACCTGTGCTTCCCACCTCACTGTGGTCATTGTCCACTATGGATGTGCCTCAATAGCATATCTTAAGCCCAAGTCAGAAAACTCTATAGAACAAGACCTCCTTCTCTCAGTGACCTACACAATCATCACTCCTCTCTTAAACCCTGTTGTTTATAGCCTGAGGAACAAGGAGGTCAAGGATGCCCTACGCAAAGTTGTGGGCAGAAAGATTTCTTAATACATAGAACCTTTTTATAAAGGGACTTTTAGCTTTAAATAATATATTTCTGAATTAAATTGAACCTAATTAACCTATCTTGTACAATTTGCTTTATACTGATGTGTGTTTGTTCTTTTATCAGCCATATTATAGTATCTTAGTCTTTGTTTTCATATCAATATTAATCCAATAATTTTGTGAGAAAGAGGAAGGTAATTACTTTGGAGAAAGTATGAGATAGGATAGTAGACTTGTAGAAAGCATATTGTCTTAGGCTGTGTTCTCTAGAAAAGCAAAACCAGTGACTCATATACAGGGAGAGATTCATCTTAAGAAAATTATTCCCATTGTTGTAGAAATTGTCACATTCTATCTACTTACTTCAGTGAGACATAGGGCTTCTCCTGAATTACACAGCTGCCAGGCCTGACTCAGTTGTTCAAATGTCAAGGTGCTGTTGTGGTGACTGATACAATGCCAGGTTCCTGGGTTTGGAGCCTGATAAATCCACATCAACAGTAATGATATAGGCCACTGTTCTAACTCTAAAGAAATTAAGATCAAATAGTGATAAGCCAGTTCAGGATGCCAATGGGAAAAAAAGCAAGAGAATTTTACCAGATTATTCATACATACATATTGAATGTAGGCAATATCTCCAAGGAAATTCCCTTTCAACTGATAGTTCATAATAAGTCTCATCATAGACATGCATACATTGCATCAGATTTCATCAGGAGAATTATAACATCATAACTAACAGATCAGAGACTCATAAAAAAATTGACACAGAACTTACCCCTTCTCAATTTGACCTCTGTGAAAATCTCCTTAAAACATATATAATCTTTAATGAATAACAACTATAAATTTATACTTTCGCCTAATATGATCCAACTAACGCCTGTACAATTGGAAAAGCATCTGACCCATTTAACACAAGTAAAGAAACCAAAAATAAAATTTCTGGCACATATACAAGGAAGAAACACAAATAATAATTATCATCCTTATTCCTAGCTCCTAGGAAGCTCTAGTAGTTTTGTGGCAAGAAGCTGCACTGCAATCCTAGGAAAGATGGGCAAGCTCCTCCTGTGCATGTCACTGCCTCTGAAAACATGCATGAGGGTCAGCTCTGAGTCAGTTCCAACTCTATGGTACACAACAATAACACAACTTCCTACAACTAGTCATGTGGTTGTAACTGGTATTTAGAACTACCTTCTTTTATCACCAATTCTATATTCCCTTTGCAGTCAGCAGCCACCTCAGCTGACTGTTGATTTTTGCCTGGTGATGTGACCAAAATTTTCATCTCTGATGGTTGTTGGACATTATTAGTCATATTGTGAATAGGTTGATGTAATTCTCCATTGAATTTAGCCAGTTGTTATTGTGGTTAGATATATTGAGTTGGTTCTGACTCATAGCAATTGCATATACAAACAGAACTAAACACTGCCGGATACTGTGAAACACTCACAGCTTCTGCAGTGCTTAAACCCACTGTTTAAACTACATATGCAATTTACCTTATCACACTTTTTCATTGATCCTGAACCTAAGAACCAGTATGTAATTGCACACTTGATTATTTTGCCCTTGAAAACTATACAACTAAAATGCACTAATTCAAAGTTCTGTCCATAGGGAGGATTTCCCTTTATCATTGCCCCTCATAGAAGTTCCAGAAAGAGGCTTCAGTGCTGCCACTGACCACTTCAGAGTAATCCCTGCATAACCACCTATAAACCAGCCATGAATGTTCTCTACCTCAGCCAACTAATCATGAGGTAATATCCTTCAAGGGCATAGGCACAGACTGCAAGAGGAAAGGCAATGGGATAATAGTGGAGGACATGGACATGACTACTTCTTTATGCGGCTTACCTGTGCCTTCTGTTCTTTATTGAGTCCACTCCCACATATTCCACATACATGTAATAAAAGAGCACTAATGTGCACATCCAATTTTATGGATGTGTAGGTAAGACAATCTCCAGTTCATGATGGGAAGCTTAGGCCACATAGTGACTTGGTGGTCCATAGTTAGGCAATCAGACTCTACCAAGGTCCAATAGCATATAAAAAGTGTTTCTCAAAAGATTAATTATTTGTAGAGCAAATTATTTGTAGAGCAACACTGTGCTGTGACACACCAACAGGGCAGTGCCAAAAAAAGGATGAAGTAGCATGCCTAAATGATGACTATGTTCCACCCCCTCACTAAAGCATATTACCAGAATTTTTATCTTTTTTAGTTGTGTTAGGGGTGAGATGCAATAATTTGCCCTTCACTTTAGATGAAATAACTCAACGTATCCCACACCACTGTACCCCTAGAAATTTGCTAATATTGAAGAAGGCATCTGAATATTTGTCACATTTATTTCCTGAATATCCAATTGGCTGCCAAAAGAACAAACAGATATGTCTTGGAGAAAGTACAATCAGAGTGTTTCTTGGAGGCAAGTATAGCCAAGCTCCATCTCACATACTTTGGACATGTTGCCAGGAGAAGATATTCCTTAGAGAAGGGGACCATGCTTGGAAAGGTGAAGGGATTGTGAAGGAGAGGTGGACTCTCAACCAGGTGGATTGACACATTAACTACGACAGTGAACTTGAGTATATCAGAGATTGTGAGGAAGGCACAAGGTAGAACAGGGTGTAGATCTATTGTTCATGGGGTCTCTATGAGTTGTACTCAACTCAAAGGCACCTAACAACAACAAATACAAATGTCTTACCAACAAATCTAGAGTCTCTGATATTTCCTCGTTACTAAGATCAACCAGTGTAACTCAAGCAATGAAACAGACCAATGTTATAGCTTGTGGGAGTGAAAGATGATCAAGGTCCATGTGAACTAAATTAGGACATAGCACTAGAGAGCTGATATACTTATGAGGTAGCACAGTACATGTATATTGCTGGCCTTGCCAGCAGAAAGCAAAGAGCTTCTGATGATTTTCTGGAATAGGAATGGATAAAAGGGCAATGACCAGATCAATAGCTGGATATCAGGCATTAGTACATGTATTAATTTGCTCAGGCAATGGAACCACATCTGGAATAATAGCTGAAACTGAAGCCATCATCTGGTTAGGTTTACAATAATCAAATTCCATTCTATAATATTAAAATAGGCTAGTTAAGTGGGGATGTGGTGGGAATATTATAACTGCATCCTTCAAGTCCTTCATGGTGTACTAATTTCTGCAATTCTTCTAGGAATGTAGTATTGCTTTTGTTTTACTGTTTTCCAAGGTAAAAGCAGGTCTACTGGCTTCCACTTTGCTTTTTCTACTATTACAACCCATTTCTACATGAGAGGAATACAATGCAAGACCTCTGCCAGTTGCTGAGTGTAGCTATTAGAATTATGTAACCTGGAACTGGAGAAAGCACTATACAGAGGAATTGGGAGACTCATAGGGCCCACTGTGAGATGAATCTAACCTAAGAGTCCATTAATTACTTGACGTGTTCTGCCTGGTAGCCCAGCATGATGTTTTGGCTTTCCTGGAATTAGTATCAATTCAGTGTCCAATATTCTCCCCAAAATTTGATTATTTCTTTGCCCCAGTGAACACTCTCATAAAAGGCAATGGATCCCTATAGAGAAGACTTGGAGTAAGTCAAATAGTATACATTTTAGGTAGTGTAGTGAGGTCTTTCCTCAAGGTTGTTTCTGTCTCCTTTTCTTTCAGGTGTTTATGGGTCTTTAAACCAAGTTAAGACTGAACATTTTTTAAGCAACTATGACTGTTCAAAAATGACTGGAACAGCACATCAACAGAGAAGTACCAGAAGTGCAGGCTGAATTTAGATGGAGCTGTGGTACTAGGGATGTTGTAGCTAATGTTAGATGGATCTTGGCTGAAAGCAAGGACTACCAGAAGAATGTCTATCTTTGTTTCATTGATTTTGCAAAGGCATTTGACTGTGTGGATGATAACAAACTGTGGCTGACTCTGAGAAGAATGGGAATCCCAGAACACTTGAGTGTGCTAATGTGAAACCTATACTTGGACGAAGAGGCAGTCGTCAGAACAGAGCAAGGAAACACTGCATGGTTCAAAATTGGGAAGGGTGTAGGCCAGGGCTGTATCCTGCCTCCATACCTTTTCAATCTTTATGCAGAGCAGGTTATCTGGGAGGCTGGGCTCTTTGAGGAGAAATGTGGCATCAGGATTGGAGGAAGAATCATCAACAATCTGCATTATGCAGATGACACAACCTTGCTTGCTGAAACTGAGGAGGACCTGAAGCACTTGCTGTGGAAGGTCAGGGACTGCAGTCTCTAGTATGGATTGAGACTCAATATCAAGAAAACAAAGACTTTCACCACTGGGCCAATTGGCAGGGTCATAATGGATGGTGAAGAGATTGAGATTGTTCACAGTTTTGGTTTGCTTGGATCCACAGCCAACACCCTTGGCACCAGCATCCAGGAAATTAAAAGACATATTGCAATGGGAAAGTCTGTGGTTAGAGACCTCTCTAAAGTGCTGAAGTGTAAAGACGTCAGTCTGGAAACTAAAGTGTTCCTGATACAGGCCATGGTCTTTGCAATCACTTGCTGTGCATTGGAAAGCAGGACAATGACTAGGGATGATAGAAGGAGAAGCCTCTGAGCTGTGGTGTTGGAGAAGAGTATTGAATACACCATGGACTGCTAGGAAATCGATCAGGTTTGTCCTGGAGATGGTGAAGCCAGGCTGCTCCTTGGAGGCAAGGATTCTGAAGCTTCATCTGGCATACTTTGGACATGTTGCAAGGAGGGACCAGTCCTTGGAGAGGAATATCATAATTGGGAGGGTAGAGGGACAGCGCAGGAGAGGAAGACCTTCAATAAGATGGATTGATTCAGTGACTGGGGTAATAACGGGGGCAGGTGTATCAGAGATGGTGAGATTGTCACAGGATAGGGCAGAGTTTAGGGCTGTTGTACATAGGGTCATTGTGATTCGCAAGTGATTCGGCAGCACGTAACAACAACATGACTGTCCTGG